TTAACAAACTTTAAATATTTTAAAGCTAATAAGAATCATTAATATTTCATAAGAAACAAACAAAACGTTGCAACATGCAATGCAATATCAATCCTGATATATGGCAGTGAATGCTGGACATTTTACTCACAGAGGATGAAGACACTGTGTGTTTAAATAAAATGGCTGCTCAGAATGTGATGGAAATAGTATGTGAGCAACGAGGAAGTTTGAAAGAAAACTGGAACGAATAGGGCACTTGTAAATACATTAAGAAATAGTCAGATGAATTTTCTGGGATTAAATAAGGAAATGGAGTTTGCAAATGCTAGCAGGACACATGGTGATTCTCTAACCTACGGTTAGATGTAGCACAAAAATGAAGCACCCATTAAGTACCGATCTCACTATTCGCAGGACATATGGAAGGCTAGGCAAACATTTTTCGGTATTCTTTTATTTGACTCTTAAGGAATCTTACTCCTCAACGATACTTTATGCTTCGTAAGGTGTCTTTCGTTATTCAAGTGAACCTTTTGGATTGTCTATATCACATTTTTCTTCAACTTCCTTGTACTTCATCTTACTTTCATATTAATATCTTCAATTCGTAGCTTGCATCTTATGCCTTTCCTCTTACTAACAAGCAGAAATACCGACGTCACATTTAAGAACTATTTTTTGTTTTTAACATTTTTCCAGTCCTTAATACTTTGCTTAGCTTTTGAAAGGCATCTTTCGCTATCGCAATGCAACTTCGAATATCAGTGTCACACATTTCTCCTCTGTTAATATACTTCACAGTTATTTTAATTGTTGTACTTGCTCGATTTTGATCGCACTTCCCCTCCTCTGTTAAAACACTTCACAGATATTTTAATTTGTAATTTGCATTTTACGCTCATCCATTTGTTAAAGACCATGCATTATGTCTTGTTGTTTATATTTATTTACTTCTTGCTTTTCTTCTCTAATTTCTATTAATTTTCTTTCTGTATCTGCTGTCATCTGTCTATCTGTCATTGCAACTGTGGTCGCCACTAATTAATCCTTGTCAACTTTATAATTCTCTCAGACCAGGTTGTAATAAGTTTTCAATTTTCTTCACGTTAACCAAATTTTTGACAGTTCAAAACCAATAGTGCGTTCACATTTTTTTTTACCTGTTCTTAGTACTGATTCGCTGGTCAACTTAAGGGAGATTTCTGCGTTAAAACTCTTCAAGATTTAACGATTTTTAACGATACATTGTATTCTTTTCAAAGATATATTTATACTTCAAAGCAGACATTTAAATTGTTGCAATATGCTTTCAACATTTACAAATGGCGTTCAGATATTTTCTCTTCGTTAATCAACAAATTACAATCAAATTACAAACTTAGACAAAAAATTTATGTCTGTCGCCATTCACTAGAAGTTAGTGAAAGACGTATTTGTCAAACGTTTAAACTATATCAATTTTTCCTTTTGTCTTTTCGATACTGAAATGTCAAAGGTTTGAGGTAAATATCAATAATTTGTGCTTGTCTTCAAAATAGTTTGAAATAATTTTGTTTAAAATCTGTCACTGTTTAAAAGTTTAAAAGTTCTCTGGACAGAATTAGTCTGCGAGAAACATAACGATATTAAATGCTTTTCATGCAGGTCATTTGTGAATATTAAAATGGTCTGCAATAAGAAACAGTATTTATGTACCTATCTAAAATAGTTTTGATGTCATTGTCAGGATATTGTTAAAAATTTTACGGAATAAATTTACTTCTATATATTTTAAAAAACAAGAAGCTCAGTTAACAATGATGTGTCTCAAAAATAAAAAAAATAAGCTAAATTTTAAATCGTTATTTCCGAACATAATTATCCGTAAACTTGTAAATTTATCCTTTCTCTTGAAGATACACATTACAATGGCATTTCTTTTTACAGTGACGTTCACCCTGTTCAAAGCCCAGGGGCCACTAGAGATAAATTGTTACAAGCAGTTTATGCGGATAGGAGAAATAAATAACGGTTCACCCTAGACTTGAACAGGTTAAGATTGTAGTGATAGATACACCATCCTCTTGGGAGTCGTTTCCACAGAGCAGTGGTTCGCGTGTAGAAGCTGTTCGAGTGGGACTTATTTCTCACCAATGGAAACAGAGGGAATGAGGGTGGCTTGTTACAATGTGAGTGGCATGGCGAGTCCTATGTTAGAATTGCAGAACCATGTAATGTAGTTCGTCCTAGCACTTTCCATGCAAGTAGGTATAGAAGTGCGAGTCTTGACATATTCGATCTTTGAGATTGGGGTTTGATGGTGGAAATTAATTTGTCTGTCCCGTCTGTCTGTCAATTATTAAAATTTTTCTGTAGTTTCAATTGTCCGAGGAACTTTGCGCAGTAATGTATTTCTTGGTTTGTCTGCAAGTCTCTGTCGCCTTCCCCTCTACCCCCTCCCCTCCCCCTCTCTCTCTATATATATATATCGCTTTCACGACGCTTGAAACTACATTTGAATGAAAACTCTAACATTTTTTAGGCATTTAAAACAACAACCCTAGCCGCACACACAATTCCGTAAAATCCTCGTCGAAAACATAATTATACTTAAACATGAAAACAATAAACAAAATATAAAAATCCTTGATGCAATATACATCAAACAGTTAAAACCTAACCTAAACAAAATCAACTATGGAATCTCTACAAATATCCTTAAATGTCTATAATTGGTAACAGAAGCCATTGGTTTATACCAACGGCTTCCCATACTTAATACTTCTTGAATTCACTATCGCGTGGTCATGTGTGACGTCATGAGCTGCGATGCGATTTTCGCTTCTAGCGTCTTATATGCACGTGTTTATCGTTGCTTGGAAATCATCTATGTAAATAATAACAGACGATCATCACTGTCTTGTCCGTATATTGCTTAATATATTGTACAGTAATTGACATCTTTGATAATGGCTTATGTAAGCCGAAATATGTATCAATATTGTGATTTTTTTTCTTCATTTAATGATAATGTTATTAAGCTTATCAGACGTTATGAAAAGAATTTACATAAAATAAATAGACAACACTTGTCTATATTATTTAAATATGAAATATGTATATATATATATATATATATATATATATATATATAATATCAAATTTTGAATCTTGTATGTATGTATGTTACAGAGATACAGCTGAATAGATACACAATACGTCAACCAATTGAGGAGCGTATAGTATCTTGAACCCCTGCCTAATGCTATGTCAAGTTTCATTAAGATTAGACCAGTGATTCTCTGAACTACGGTCGTATTTAATAGGAATTCAGTTTTTACTTTCGATAGACATTCTTATATCAAGAGGCGGACATCAACAAATACTTGCTTATTATAATCGTACTATTATGCGTGTTAAACTCTTATACGTTATGTGTTAACCTATTATGTTTGTTAACTATTATATGTGTTAACCTATTATATTCAAACTATTATGTATGTGAAATGTAATAAACTTTCCTAATAAATTACAACATTATTAAATAAATTTAAATATTCAAAACACAAACATGATTTTCTGCTACACAAGATTTACCTTTCAAAAAAAAACAATGCCGCTTTTGAAACAATGAGCTGGTTATAATGGTTATGATTTTCTTTTCTTCTATTTTCTTACATAAAGCCCCGACGAAAAATTATCTTGGTCGAAATATTTGATCTAATACAAATTTTAGGTGTGTTTTTTTTTTTTACATCTATAACAGTTACATCTCCGAACGCTTTTCGCATATAAAAAAAAAGTCCTATAAATTAAATAGGTATGACATGACTGTCTTTTATATAAAAATGTTTATAAGACAAATTACTGCCTGAATATACTGAATATAAGTGGACATTGAAGTCAACACCAGGGGTACAGTCTGTTTCATACTAAACTCAATCGTCGTCTAATATTATATTTACACACACTCTGTCCCTGATATCGATCAATGCAACCCATAAATATAACATATCTTAAAACTATATTTTATCACACACACACACACACACACACACACACACACACACACACACACACACACACACACACACACACAAACAGAAGATGAACGAGCATATAACTAGCTAGCTTGTGTTAAATTATCTCACTACCCCTTTTTATGTTTTACTTATTTGGAAAGTTGAACGTCAGACTTCGATACATCTTACTAAATAATGTAACAACTTGTATGTGTCTATAACGAAATTGTCTAAGATTTATGTGGAGACAAATTCGTGTCATGATCTATATTAAAAAAAAACAAAAACAGGTGGGTGGGTATTTAGTGTAGGTCCCATGCGATTGGTTAATCACAGCAAAGCACACAAGACATTTTTTTAAAAAAAATTGATTTACGATTTATAAATATATATATATATATATATATATATATATATATATATATAAATATATATATATACAGATACTATTTTAGTATATATAGTACCTTATATATATATATATATATATATATATATATATATATATATATATATATATTATTATTTTTTTAGGATATATATATATATATATGTGTGTTAATTTAGGATATATATTATTTTAGGATAAATATATATATACACAAATATATATATATATATATATATATATATATATATATATATATATATATATATATTATAAAACATGATTGTAATCGTAGAGATTTTTAACACGTTTTAGCTTTTAATATTCTAAAATAATATGTATATATTATTTTAGGATGTATATATATATATATATATATATATATATATATATTATTATAGATATGTATATATATATATATATATATATATATATATATATATATATATATTATTTTAGGATATTTTTACTCCTTAGTTGTTATTAATAATATTAATATTTTTTTGTTTCTCTTATATTAACATTATATTATTTCTTATTTTATTTAGTTGATAATTTTTAAATTTTAAATTAATGTCAATCGTTAACTTCAAAATAAATCAATCAGTATTTTTGAAATTAACCGCAATATGCTCATGTATGTCAGTTTATTCATCCTTTTCTTCTTTCCCAACTTTTCCGTCGCACCCCTGCTTCTACATTTGCTTCATTATGACTTTTGTTCTCTTTGTCTCGCTTCCTGTGATATTACTTATTATGTAAGCCAATCTCTGGTCCTTTTCTTAATAAAGATAAATATAAATTATTCCTATCCCTCCCCTCCTTCTTTAATTTCGACCATATATGTCGTCGCCCTCCTCCTCATCTCTCTATCACCTTACATCAACGCAAATCTGCCTCTCAAATGCGTTTAAAAATAATACGTAAATTTAACCCCCTTTTTTATGCTTGAAATGTGATCTGAGGAACCAGAAAAAAAACAAAAAAATGATATAATCAATCTACACTTAAGGTTGTTTATTTTATATATATATATATATATATATATATATATATATATATCCTTTCTTAGTAATCAGAAGACTGAAAAGACAAATTTTGTATCACTATAAGAAGCAGTATCATTTCATGGGATTTCTAACGTGACATCCTAAAAAGCAGTGTCTTACAAGCTGCTGAGAAAGCAAGCAAAAAAGCCTGTGACGTAATTCAACATGCCATTCATTGGTTCGAAGTTGAGATAAAGAACCAAGTCTCTTGTCAATTAGATGTCATTAACTATGGACATCGTGACCAACTAACTATTTCAACGAGTGCCGACCATAATTTGATTGTCTATACGGGGAGATAACCGGCTAAGAGAAACAAGAACCGTCAGTGATCAGATTACAGCTTATAAATGTGAGAGAAACCATCTGCTCCTTCCCGCCAATGCAACTTTGCATCATGTCTCCATCTGCACTAACTTAACCCTTTGTTTCTCTTTTTCTTACTCTTTTTAGTTTGTATCAATTTGCATGTGGGAGAAGTATCCGCATCTACATAGGTGAATAACTGTCTGCATATCATGTGATGGCTTCTCTGTAAAGATTTAGTTTCTGAATATATGATAAAGTGCTGAAAAGTTCACACTCAGACCAAGAAAGGATTCTCCAACAGAAACAGAACCGAAACAGTGCTGTAAAAAGAAAGAGGAACCTGTCCTGTTACACCGACCTAGAGTATTAACGTCTGACGATTGCAGTTTTACGGAAACGCCGAGTAACTTTTATAAATCTAAGTGACGAGTCGACTTGATGTTTGTTTTTATATATTTTAGCACTAATTAAAAAAGCATATAAAATAGAAAACATAAATAGGTAAAATAAATGAATAAAATATATTATAAAATAAACAAATAAAACAATAAATAAACATATAAACACACACACACACACACACACACATATATATATATATGCGTGTATGTGTATCTGAGAGTATATATATATATATATATATATATATATATATATATATTATGATTTTAAATCAAAAACATGTCAAAAATCGCTACACAATTGCAGGCTTGTTTCGACGCATATCAAGGCGTCTCCTCAGGCAAATTAGTGGCGAGTGAAAGATTAATTTAATTTCAAATGCAAAATGCCTCCTCTTTTTTCGAGAAAAATGTTTGAGAGCTATCCTCGATATATATATATATATATATATATATATATATATATATATATATATATATATATCCCTGTACAAATTAATTGAAACAAAACGAAATATTCCGTTATTATTTATTACTATTTTCGTATTTTTTCTATGAATCAAGAATCAGTGCACATATTAGTATTGCGTATGTCCTATCTACGAAGTCGTTCCTTGTAGATTGACCACAGATTCTTAGGAAATTTTCCGGGTCAATCTATAGTACTTTGCATTGCCGCTGGTAAGGCTTGCTAGTGTGTTGGTGCAGCCTTACAATTTTCGCACGCTTACTTGGAGTAACGTCCATTGCAGACAATGGCCGTAGGACAACTAATCGACAGTCGAGATAATATTTCCTGGGTATGGTAAATTCAGGTGCAATCAGGGGTGACCAAATATTATGCAAGGTCAAACAAATTTCATCATACACCTCGAAAATAGATTCATATTACTGAACATAACGGCAAAAGATGTAATCTGTGAAATAAATAAAAATCTATTACACCCTGTCATTCTAGTGGGTCTAAAACTGACCGTATGGTGAAAGAAAGGAAAGCGGTTATTTAAATTTATTTACACAAGGAAATATATATATATATATATATATATATATATATATATATATATATATATATAATACGCATACGTCTCCGTGTTCCTCGGTTATGGGTATCCTTCGCACCGCTTCGGCTTCGGCAGTCTTTGGAGAAGTGGTTCAGTCCGCCACATTTATAGCACCTTGTGTTCTCAGTTGGCGGTGCGGGTGCTTCCACGGCTGCTGAGAACGGCTCCGCGTCGTCCTTCAGAATATTCCGGGCTCTGGCCAGTAACTAGTCTAGCCCCAGCTCATTGAGCCTTGACGATGTTCGTAGCAGTCGACTGGCGTTGTCTGGGAGTCCTGCTAGAAAGGCGCATACTAGTATTTGGTCGCTTGCTCCACCGAACGGTGCGGCCAGCTTCCTCAAATCGGCCAGAAAGACATCTACCGTTTCATCTGGCCCAAGCCGCCGTTCGGTAAACTGCCTCCAGGCGACAAAGAGGTCCGCACCGAATGCCGCGTATAGAGCCTGCTTAATTTCCTCCAAGTCTGCGTCATCCCTGAGCTGCTGATACACAATGTTAGACATTTTCATGACGGTCGTCCTCGAGTATAGAATCCAGAGGTTGGCAGTGAATATTTCGGAGACAGTAGGAAAGCATAGTGGAGGTTCGCAGTGGATATCATAACAGAGTGTAGTTCATCCTTCTCCTGGTCGCCTTTGGTCCTTCCGGTAGACGAAACAAGATGGCCGCCTTTATACACGACAAATACAGTGTTGGGCGGCTTCTGATTGGTCAACCTTCTATTGGTCGACTATAAAGGGAAATAAGTCATTCGCTCACTAGTGATATGCGTATATACCCAAAAAACCCTAACAGTAAGCTCCTTTGGTGAGCCTCAGAGGGATGACCAGTGCGGGATCTTTAATTTTACACAGCCGGCAGACCCGCTCGGCCTTTTCCCACCATTCGACCACAGACGGGTCAGTGGGGTAGCCGTCGAACTCTGGTATCAACTTCAAGTCGAATCTGTCCATGTTGTAATAATGGCCGAAATAGTTTGTAGCAAAGGAATTAAATTCAAGAGTGTAAGGGACGCAACTCTTTCCGTCGGAAAATGTCGGACACGATGCAAAGCAAAGCAATGTGCACCGAACACGGGTGTAATGCCCTTCTGCCAATTTCTCCAAGCGACCTGCTTTTATGGAGCCCAGACACACCTCATTAGCATGCGTGTAACGCGACTTTGCGTGACTGCACGAGACCGTGAATATTAAAAAGTCACGGACGCCATCTTGGACCCTTTTTTTCTTTTCTCAACCCACAGGCCAGATAGACGAGAGGGCGTTTGGGAGGTAAAGCCATTTCTATTTTCAATCACAATAATATATATATATATATATATATATATATATATATATATATAATATATATATTATGAAATAAATCCTAATGAGCTACAACCTACCTAGGTTTCTGGCTCTTTTTTTCCAATTTGTCCTCGGATGCAAATTTGTTTGAAAATTGTTCTATCCAGGCATTTTCACACACCGAGTTTAAATAGATTTATTTTATATATATATATATATATATATATATATATATATATATATATATATGTGTGTGTGTGTGTGTGTGTTTGTGTGTGTGCTTTTGAAATCAGGACGTCAAGTGGAATCCTGCTAGCTTGGTTTCAATACTATGGTATCCTAAGGCAATTATTATGAAATGACCCCCTAACGCTTTTTATAAAAACAAAACAAAACACAAAACTAAAGATCGCTACATCATTATTTTCAAAAATAAATAAACAAGCGCACGATGTGGGGTGTAATAGAAAGGAGGCGGAGGATGTGAAGAATGAAGAATTAAAAGAAGAAAAAGGGGGAAGAGAATAAAAGCAAGTGTATTTTGTGGGGTTAAATCACCTTCTTTTTATCCAGACTCTTATGCAAAATTTTCAGATATGTACGCAAAAACCTAAGACTTCGATTTCTGTTTTAATATATATATATATATATATATATATATATATATATATATATATATATATATATATATATATATATATATATATATATATATATTTAGAGTGTGTGTAAATAGAAATACAGACAACCTTCCATAATTAATATTCTAATATTTAAGATTATAATGTTTGATATAAATTTGAATGTTTCTAAACTGTCTACAAATAACTTAATTTGATGTTTGTTAGTGATTTAAATTTTTTTTTAAATTTTGGGGATTTTCTATGAAATAGTTGATTAGAAAAATATTCATAGAAAGTACATTATACTAAAACTTAATAACACTACTTGGATAAAAAAAACAAAAAAAAAACAGAGACAACTTCGATGTCCCAATGGGATCTTTTGATTCAGCACAAATAGCTGACTTAATAGGTATATACATTTTAGATATCCTAAGTAGATTCCTTGACCCTCAAAATGTAGAACTATACAGAGATGATGGACTGGTTGCTGTACCCGATACCAATGGTCCTTTAACATCCCAACTACAAAAGAAAATAATTAAGGCTTTCAAATTTCTAGGATTTAAAATCGAGATTTCTTCCAACCTAAAAATAGTAAACTTCCTAGACGTTACATTTAATCTTAACTATAACACTTATAAACCCTTCCAGAAGGAGAACCAATCAACCATATATATAAATATCTACTCTAACCACCCGAAATCAATAATTAAACAAATTCCAAATACAGTAAATGCTAGAATAAATAAACTCTCCTCTAGTAAACCCATTTTAAACCAAAATAAACCAACTTATGATAAAGCCCTATTAAAAAGCAGATTTAAACAGACACTAAATTATATAGATAAGTCAGGTAATAAAACATCCACTAAATCCAAAAATAGGAAGAGGAAAATTATATGGTTCAACCCACCTTTTTGTAACCTTTCTAACATTAACATAGGAAAATACTTCATAAAACTAATACAAAAACACTTTAGTAAAAATGATCTTTTAAAAAAGATATTGAACAAAATGAATTTAAAGATTAGCTATTCTTGCATGAACAATATTGAAACAATTATTAGCTCACATAATAGTAAGATTTTGAGAGATTTTCATGACAATTCAATATAAATGGATCGTAATACAACCCAAATGAAAGCATCAAGATGTAATTTCAGGACAGGATCA